TAATTTTAATTTAAGCAAACCGGTGTAAATAAGTATTTATGAGGCAACACTTCCTCTTCTTCTCCACGGGCAAAGACAGGGTCAGGCAACGTGTAGCACTGGCTTGAAGCTGTAACCTCTCCTGGGGTGATCCGTTAGACTGTTACTGTGTTTGAGGCTGTAGCAGGGTTCATCTTGCCTAATTTTACCTGTCTCCAGCCCAAAGGCATCTCCCTATGATCTATCCAGGCTCCCTTTGCAGCCGGTGAAGAGAAATAGGTAATTCTGGAGCGTGATTCATCTGTCCTGGTTTAGATGCCCGCTCTGGGATGATGCAGCATCCATCAGGAGCATCTATCTCCGCTGGCTGCAAAGGGATTTAGAGGGGATACCCACGGATATGGACCTCTGTGCTCCTGCAGTGAGAGTGCTCTGTGTTAATAACTCAAGTGACGACTACCTAATGCCAAGGGACAAGGCTTGAGAGACCTGCCCGCTCAAAGCTGGAGGCAAATTAAGTCCCCAGTGAGCTTGGGACTAATTAGAGGCACTGGAACCTCTCACTGACTTTCTGTGAACATCAACGGGCTTTGGCTGGACACCAGCAGCCAGGACAAATCGCTGCCAGGTCAGGGTTGACTTTGCCCGTGCTCCTTCCTTGCTGAAGGTGAGCCAGCTCCTCCTGGAGCGTTCCTCTAAGGGTATCACCACGTCTAATTTTCAAGCCCAAGCAGGATGCAGGTCTCTCCGCTTGCCCAAAGCTCCTTCCTTCCAGGTGGCTGGTCCCAAAGAATATTTTCCCACTTCTTTCTGAGCCACTGGGGCCACTCTCTTGGTTTTCTGTGCAATAAGTGGCAGAGCTGCTGCCCGGTGGTGCCTCAAGTACAAGGAGGGCATTTCCCTTGTGTCGTGGTGCCCCAGGTCCCCGTGGAGCGTAACCCGCACGTGAAAGGCTGATCTCATGCCTTGGGTTTTGAGATATTTTAGTTTTTTTTTAGTTTTCCCCCTTTTAATTTCTCTCTCTCTCAACGCTGGGTCCTCTCCAGAGCTTGGCAGCTGGAGCCAGCCCCGAGCCCCACGTTGCCCTCAAATCCTTCAGCTTCATCGGGCGCTGCTGCAGCTTTTGTCCTTGGGTGGTTTAAACCTCGGGGGGTGACATTTGCATGAACGGAGCCAAAATTGTCATCTACCTTCCAGATGAGACATGACGTCTCGTCTGAAGGCAGTAACCTACAGGATGCGTGGTCCTAAGAGCTCCCCAGTGCCCCCGTGGTAAGTCTTAGAGCAAATTCCTCCCCTGAAGTGCCCCAAAATCCCACTTCCTCCCTCAAGTGCCCCAAAATCCACCCGACAAACGTGGCATTGAGCTGACTCAGGGCTCTCAACATCCTTCAAGCTGTGAACAAAACTGGTGGCTTGCCTGCTGCCTGCAAGGTTCTCATGTTCCCCCCAACCAGGGGGGAAAAAATAGCCCAAAAACAGGGTTCAAGAGCTGAGGTGGAACTGAATGCACTTTAATGGTGACCAGCAAATCACTTTATTGTTTTACTTTTTCCTTAGGTTTGTTCCCCCACCCCTCGTCATTCCCTTTGTTGTTGGTTTGGTTGCTTTTTTTTTTTCGCTCCTATAAAACAGGACAGAAAAAAAAAATGTGAGATCCTGCTCTTTGTCCGTTTATGATTCTGATGGTTTTGAGTGTGTTTAAAGTATCAAGAAAAATACAAAATTGCCAAGAAGCTCAGGGAAGCCCTGGAGATGTTTATTGTGGGATTCATCCCTGGGATTGCTAGGATAAAGGTTTTTGTATTTTATCTTTCAAGAGAACCTTTCTCTGCCCAACCTGCATGTCATTACGGATAAAAATACATATTAGGAAAGTGCACCTTTTGGGAATTTGGGGTGAAAACCTTCCCTCTTGGTTCAAATTAGGCTTATTAGGCTGCTTTTTTAACATCGCCTCAGCTGGTGAAATAATGAAATGGTGAAGTCCAGGTTTCCAACGTGAAAACAAAAGACTCCTCAAACAACCAAGAATAAAATTACAAGTTCCTATTTACGTGATCTTTATTTTTTTTTTCCCCTCTTTTATGTCACCTCTCCACTAGGTCCTAAAGGTTGGTGGGTTCTTTTTTTAATCTCTTCTAAGAGGTCCTGCTGATGGATGCAATCATCCAGGAGGGACTTACCGAGAGAGTGAAGTCCCTCTTACTTGGTGGCGATAACCAGACTCCTTCAGTAGTAGTTCTTTTAAGATGTCCCACTTGTTACAGCCATGTCTGGAAGGAAAGGTCTTCCAGGAAAGTCCTCTGAGAGCCATTGAGCTGGAAAACACCACCTGAGTTGTTCCCTGATGTGGAACACATCATGCCATGGCTGTTGATGAAGTCTTAGAGCAAATTCCTCCCCTGAAGTGCCCCAAAATCCCACTTCCTCCCTCAAGTGCCCCAAAATCCACCCGACAAACGTGGCATTGAGCTGACTCAGGGCTCTCAACATCCTTCAAGCTGTGAACAAAACTGGTGGCTTGCCTGCTGCCTGCAAGGTTCTCATGTTCCCCCCAACCAGGGGGGAAAAAATAGCCCAAAAACAGGGTTCAAGAGCTGAGGTGGAACTGAATGCACTTTAATGGTGACCAGCAAATCACTTTATTGTTTTACTTTTTCCTTAGGTTTGTTCCCCCACCCCTCGTCATTCCCTTTGTTGTTGGTTTGGTTGCTTTTTTTTTTTCGCTCCTATAAAACAGGACAGAAAAAAAAAATGTGAGATCCTGCTCTTTGTCCGTTTATGATTCTGATGGTTTTGAGTGTGTTTAAAGTATCAAGAAAAATACAAAATTGCCAAGAAGCTCAGGGAAGCCCTGGAGATGTTTATTGTGGGATTCATCCCTGGGATTGCTAGGATAAAGGTTTTTGTATTTTATCTTTCAAGAGAACCTTTCTCTGCCCAACCTGCATGTCATTACGGATAAAAATACATATTAGGAAAGTGCACCTTTTGGGAATTTGGGGTGAAAACCTTCCCTCTTGGTTCAAATTAGGCTTATTAGGCTGCTTTTTTAACATCGCCTCAGCTGGTGAAATAATGAAATGGTGAAGTCCAGGTTTCCAACGTGAAAACAAAAGACTCCTCAAACAACCAAGAATAAAATTACAAGTTCCTATTTACGTGATCTTTATTTTTTTTTTCCCCTCTTTTATGTCACCTCTCCGCTAGGTCCTAAAGGTTGGTGGGTTCTTTTTTTAATCTCTTCTAAGAGGTCCTGCTGATGGATGCAATCATCCAGGAGGGACTTACCGAGAGAGTGAAGTCCCTCTTACTTGGTGGCGATAACCAGACTCCTTCAGTAGTAGTTCTTTTAAGATGTCCCACTTGTTACAGCCATGTCTGGAAGGAAAGGTCTTCCAGGAAAGTCCTCTGAGAGCCATTGAGCTGGAAAACACCACCTGAGTTGTTCCCTGATGTGGAACACATCATGCCATGGCTGTTGATGGCCCAATGAGTGTTTACTTGGTGCGTTTCTGGGCTTCCAAACTGCATGTGAAAATGGAGATTGAGGTTCTTTTTAGTCTTTTACCCCACCCATCTAGCCCTCTGTTCCTTTAATCCAGCAGGGATTTCTCAGCTGGTTGTGAAGCATCTTCTGGATGCCCCATCCCTGGAAGCGTTCAAGACCAGGCTGGATGGGGCTTTGAGCAACCTGGTCTGGTGGGAGGTGTCCCTGCCCAGGGCAGGGGGTTGGAATGAGATGATCTTTAAGGTCCCTTCCAACTTTAACCATTCTGTGATTCTGAGCTTTTGCATTTTACAGTTTGGAGTAAAGGCAAAGTAGATGCCAAATTATAGTGATGAGTTGTTTTGCCTTCCCTTAGTGTCTCAGAGTGCACTTTTTGCAGCAATTAGAAGTTCCTGCACGAGTAGCGGCGTCATCTCCTTGCCACAGGTGTAGTCTGGAGAGCTAGGAATTACTGCAGTCATCTCAAATTAAGATGAAAATGAGAAGCTTTGGAGATAACCTTGCCCTAACAGGGTGGCAGGGGGCTACACCACTGTTTAAATTTGGGTTATGGTCTCTCCTGGCCCATGGATTGCTGAGGAACCTCCACTTGCTAACACAAGAGGCCATAGCAGGTCTTTGGAGAGCCACCCCCAGCACTCATTGCACTGCACCGCCCTGCTCGACGTGAGCCACAGAAGTGGACAACTCAGGATGGCCCTCAAGACATCCCAGAGGCCGTGGACGTGTTCTTCTGTGTCCCATGAAGCCATTCCCACCTCCCATTGCACCATTGTGTGGCAGGTATGGGTTGGGAAAGGCAGTTGTGGTTGCCCCCATGAGATTCCTCCTCCAGTTATTTTTGCACTGGTTGTGGTTTGTTTCTTACGTGTCTAAGAAAGAAGGTCTCAAGAGGACCTTCTGGAAGTTTTATGCATCTCACCTGGGTGCAACCTCTTGCCACGTAGGGTTGACTTCTCTGTTATGGGTGAAAAAAAACCTTGGAGATCCCAAGCACCCATTTCACACTTGTTTTATAGGAACTGGGTGCCTTTGGTGTTTCAGTGGCATGGGTTTGGAAGGGCATGGAATATAAGAAGTTCCACCTAAACATGAGGAGGAACTTCTTTCCTTTGAGGGTGGCAGAGACGTGGAAGAGGCTGCCCACGGAGGTGGTGGACTCTCCTTCTCTGGTGACATTCAAAATCCACCTGGACACGTTCCTGTGTGACCTGCTCTGGGTGGACCTGCTCTGGGAGGGGGTTGGACTAGATGATCTCCAGAGGTCCCTTCCAACCCCTTGTGATTCTGTGGAAGGACCCGTGGGTTTGTAAAGACTCTGGAGATCGTTGGGAGTGAAGGAGGTTGTCTGAATCACGGGTGTTATTAAGTGAAACTCCTCGGCTGACTCTGCTTGGGTCACACCCTCTGCTTTATTTTTATGTCAGGTTCTGGCATATCATTTGACTTCCTTCACCCTCTAATCCCAATGTCAGATCAGGGCATGAATCCAACGCA